AAAAGCAGTGTTTTCTTTTTCAGCAATAAAGCTTTGCACTGTTACCATATCAGTATTTCTTAACTACGCAAAAATCACGAGCCTGCCCCACAGAGACAAGCCCCAGTTTCTACCCCCTCTCGGCCTCAGCAGCATTAATACATAAAGATGCTGTAATAAACAGATGCCCCCGGCACCAAGGCCAAGGGAAGTCCCTGGTGAGGAGAAGCAGGCTGAGGGATCCTGGGAAGCATCAAGGAAGTCCCAGGGCCTGGCGCCCGTCACAGCTCTAAGCGGGGACGCAGGCACAGTGGCCAAGTGATCTGCCCCAGGCCACACAGCTAGTTAGTGGCAAGGTGAACCTCCTATTCCCAGACGAGCCCTTTACAGCTTCTCGTCCCTGCAACCAGATCCTACTCTGTGGCTCAGGAAGATGCCTGCAAACTGCTCCGTGCCTGAGCCGGCACCCCTCCTGACACAGGTGGTGGGCACCTCTTGTTCTTATCTTAGGCTTCTCCTGACTAAGGCCTCAGGCCTAAGTACCTGAGAGGTCCAAGAAACACTCAGAGGGGATTTGGAAAGTGAGACGGAGAAGGGACCGTGGCCAGTAACAGGTGAATTATCTGCCAGTGCCACCATGGGTGCCCAGAGCTTTGGCACGCTTGAGCAGCTCAGAGCAGCCTCAGCTGGGCCCCCGAGTGCAGGGACGCTGGAAGATCTGCATGCCACTCCCTGAGGCCACCTGGGGGGCTGCAGGGTGGTGGGGTGGGCACGGGCTATGGTAATTCCCTGGAACAGGTGCAATGTGGACTCCGCTAGCTCAAGTTCTTCACCAAGACACGCAGGTGCTGGCGGTCGGGCGCCAGGCCTGTGTTTCCTGAAGGGGCAGAGGTGGGGGAGGGGAGGGCCATCAGTCAGTAGAGCTGGACCCTCAAAAAAGATGTTGAAGTCCTGATCCTCGCTGCCTGTGAATGTGACCTTTTTTGAAACAGTGACTGAGGTCCTTCCAAGAGGGAAATCTTGACAGACACCATCACCGGAGAGAGGCCAGGTGATGGCTGAGCACAGCCTGGAGGCAGCGGGGCGCCCAGGGGCCCCTGGGAGCCTCAGCCGTGGAAGAGGCAGGGAGGGTCCTCCTGGAGCCTTCAGAGGGGCAGGGCTGCCGACCCCCAGAGTCTGGACATCTGGCCTGCAGGACTGGGGAGAGGAAACCTCTGCTGCTGTCACTGCTGGTTTACAGGAACACGGCCCCGGCACCACAACCCCCGGCACCACAACCCCTGATGGCACTTTGTGATCATGACCGTAACAGCCCACATGGTGCCCACAGCCTGAAGGGCAATACGCAGTGTCCCATGCTGGGCAGAGCCGGGTCTTGCTGGTATGCCTGTCCCTGTGGCCATCGGCTAAGTGCGCCTCTCTCCTGCATTCAGACACCCAGCTCTGCACAACAGCCTTCACTTCCGCTGTGGCAGAGAATGGCTGACTGCAGCTCCTCCCACGGACACCATTAGCAGAGGGTGCAGAGGTGGGGACCCGTGTGGACATCCCACGGTGACCTCACTGTCTGAGGAACACCATGTGGGTCCTCATGCCCGCTCTCAGTCACTCGTCTTCCTCCCCAGGCCGCCCTCCCCCAGGTGTTGCCTACTGTGCGCTCTTCCTTCAGACTCAGGCAGGAACCCCGCCCAGGCCTCCGTCCAGGACCCAAAGTCCTTCTCACCCTCCACCTGCATCCAGACTCTAATTCACAGATGCACCCCCCAAAGTGATCTGCCCAGGCAGGCCCCCCTCACAGGATGGGGAAGCCCAGGAAGCCGGGCTGGAACACCAGGCCTCCCTAGGGGCTGGGGAGGACGAGGCAGGGGCGGCCCAGGTGTTCACGGTTTAATGATCCAACCCCCTGGAGGCAGAGAGGAGGAGGCTGAGACCTGGTCGGGAAGGCAAGGGGGAGGCAGGAGCAGCTAGACCCAGAGCTAGACTTCGGGCCACCCATCCCCCATCATGCTCCGTGGCTGCAGCAGAGGCCTCCGGACCTGCTCCATCCTGGCCGCCACCTCCCTCTCCCCTCACCAGCCAGAGCTCCCAGGTGGACGACTGAGCCCCACTGATGGGCGGTGGAGACACCTGGGGCCTGCGGAAGGAACACGTGGCTTTGCCTTCATTAAAGACAGAACCCGGAGACGGTGGCATGGCTAGTCCCGCAGCAGCCAGGTCAGCCTGCAGGTCAGCACAAGGCACCCTGGGGTCTTTCTAGAGGCCTCCAGCTCTTCCAGGGAGGCAGCAGCAGCCTGGGAGGAAGGAGAGACTCTCCTCACAGCCCACGGCACGGGAGCTTCCGGCGCTGGGCTCCAGAGGACTGTGCCCAAGGGCAGCCAAGAGGCAGAGGCGCCAGGCGGGCGAGGTGACTGGGCCAGCCCCGGGCCTCCTTGCCCTCCTCGCCCACCTCACCTGCTTGCAGGGCCGTTTCCAAGGAACCAGGTGTCCAGGTGAAGCCCTGTTGACACACAGCATCCACCTGTGGGAGGGGCAGGTTGTCACTGGAGAAGGACTTGAGGCGTCCCCAGAGGGGAGGGGGCTGGACACAGGACCAGTGGGGCTCTTGGCAGATATGATGAAAAGAGTCTCAGAGGCGTGTTCGGGAGGGAGAGGCACATTCTCAGAAGAATGCGGGCCACCTTGGGGGTGAGAAGCCAGGCCTGGGCTGGCGGTCCAATATTTACAGAAGGACAGTGCTAGGGGCCAGTCTGAGGGGGGCCAAGGTGGGGCTGCACATTTCATGCCAGGGTTCCCTGCACCTGGATGTGTCCCCTATTTACAAGGGTGTGGGCCAGGGGCCTGTTGCTCAAGGTTCACACCTGTACTCTCCGCATCTCCAGGGCCCCTGTAGCTCAACGGTTCCTTTAGACTCAGTATCTCTCTCTCTCTATCCTAAATCCCCATCTCAGGGTGAAAGGTCGATGCTTTTCTTTTTAATTTTGTACTTTTTTATTGTGTGGTTGTAACAGACATAGATATTCAGGAGCTGCTTCTATAACCATTTTTCCTGGCTTTCTAAATGCCCCAGCAGGCAGGAGGCACCTGTCTCCTCTTTCCTGCTCCAGCGCTTCCTTGGAAGGACAGAGAGGCCCGTGTTTGGTCCGCCCTGCCTTGTCGCGGCCTGACCAGGAGGACCATCCACAGTCGTGGGCACCAGGCACAACAGTAAGTCCCAAGGCTGGTCGGTGATCACCCACCCTCACTTCCTGCTGCGTGGACCATGTCCATGCCCTGGCCAGGGACGGAGCGGGGCAAAGGTTGGTTTTGGCCTCGTGCTCTCCACAGGGATGTGGCCATAGGACTCGGCTTGACCAACGGATTGTGAGTAGAGGTGACAGAGAATTCCCCCCCTCAGGCCCCCCGCCGGACCCAGGGGCCCAGGCCAGCCTCGCAGATGCAGAGCAGACAGGGCCAGAAGCGGTGTTGTGTCCCTGGTGTCGTGTGGAGATGTGCACGTCCATTTATCTGGTGGTTAGTGTGGTGACCGTGGGCCTGACCAGCTCACCCCTGAGGAGCCCCGGGGCTGGAGAAGCTGGGGTGGTTGGGCCTCCTTCCCGCAGCACTTCCTTTGGTCCCAGGACAGCCTCTCGCCACCCACCCTGAGGCAGAGGCGCCCTGTGGCCAGAGCAGGCAGAGCCGATTGTCAGGGGTTGGTAACTAGCTGGAGGACGGATCAGGCCTTTCTTCAAAATGACAGGGGACAGGAGGTCCAAGATGGCTGCCGTGTGGAAGGGGAGGTAGGGAAGACAGGGCTTCCTGGCCGCTAGGCTTATGTGGCCCAGTGCGAGGAGCCCAGGGACTTCAGGACACACTGTGCACACAAGCCAAGGGCCTGAGAACATCCCCGTGACCCCCCCACACAGAAGGAAGTCACAAGACCAACACGCTTAGGTCTACAAGATCCCTCACGCCAGCTCCGTGGCCATGACACTCCGTTTGTGTAGAAGGCCCTTGTCTTGGAGAGCAGTCACCACGTGCTTTGTTTTATCATGTCACAAATTCCCGAGCTTGCAGGGTGCCTCCTGGGAAGCACCAAGTGCAGACCCAGTGGCTTATGGTGACACGGAGGCTGAGAGGCCTCTTCTCCCAGCTCACTCTCAGGCACACTCGGGCCGTCACTGTCACAGACGCTGCTGAGGAGAGTGAGACAGACTGCCAGGCAGTACCCTGGGCACCTGGCAGTAGGACCCAGTCCTCTTCCCTGCAGTTACTATCCCCCCTCAGGCGAGGAAACCTGGCCTGGAGAGGTGAGGTCCCTTGCTGGGGTACACAGCTTATAAACAGGGGAAAGCAGCCGGGCTCCCGACCCAAGCCCCTGGCTCCAGAATTTCCATCCCTGAGCACCGCACTTGACCCCGGAGGAAGCAACCCCTGGAGGAAGGAGATGTGTCCTGGAGCAGCAGGGGACAGCCTCTCCCTGTAGATAGCGGGGCTCAGGGCAGGTCTGCCCTGATGCTGGGGTGCTGTTGGGAAGGGGGACGGGGAGCCGTGCTGAGAGGCCCCAGGAGCCCCCCTGACTCCTCTCCTGCCCTCCTCTCTGCTTCTCCCTGCCTCCCCGCCGGCGGGCGCTTGCCTAATGCAGAAAAATTCAGTAATTGTTCCTCTCCCACCTCTGAGGCCCTCTTCACCCCCGCCTTTCCTTGACCTTCACCCTCCACCTCTCGCTCTTCGATTCACGTAATAAAGTGACTTTTGCAATGTCAGCCATAAATAGATTATGAGAAGAAAATCTTTTGTTTAAACAGAAATTCTAATTTTCCGAGAGGTGGTGAACAAACACTCTGGAATTCATTAGAGATCAGCAAATCTTGTTTGCTTAAAATCATGCTTCAGTTTCCTGCAAAAATAGCAGCTACAGCGTCCTTGCCGGGAGCTTCCCTGTGTCAGAGAATCGGTGCCAAGAGCTCCTGACCAGGTGGAAGAGCACGGAGCTGCCGAGTGAGCCAAGGCTGCCTGGGCGCAGAGGCTCAGCCAGGCCCTCCTCATCCTTCAGAGAAACGCATTGGCGAGGGGGAGGGTGGCAGGAGGGGCCGAGACTGACTTCACAGTGAGAAACCCGACTCACAGGGTGCGGCCGTGAGCAAGGTCAACCACTACCGTGAGGGCAGGAGGGGCGCTCAGAGGGGAGCTCCAGCTGGTATCTTGGGTGAGGAGATGAGAAGGGCCCTTACCTCTTTCCTAGAATGCCCCAGGCCCTGGGAGAGAGTGTGGCAGAGGGTGCCAGCGGGGACTTGTTCCCAAAACATAGAACCCCAATCTTAGGAGAAAAGCATCAAATCCCAGTAGAGGAACATCCTACAAAATACCCAACCAGCATTCCTCAAAACCGTCCAGGTTGTCAAAAACGGGGAAGTCCAGGACCCCGCGGCAGAGGCTGTGAGACTGCACGCTGAGCTTCCAGGTGACTGGTTCCTCCACCCTGGGCCTCATACCTGGCCAGTTTCCTGAGTTTTACAGGGTCTGACCCCCCAACCCACTCCCAACGCATCGGCCTCATCCTCGGGTGGGTAGCATGAGGGGGCGGCCCTTCCAGTCTTCACGTCTAGATTCAACAATCCGGCGACTATCTTCAGGAATGAGAGAACTGTTTCTAGAAGCTTCCTGGCAGTATTCCTCCTCCTGGCCCTTTGGTCAGAGGGGATGGTCAGAGGGATGGTGAGTTTCTCCGCCAATCGCTGCACGAGAGGCGGCCCCCATTGCCTAGACTCACCAGCGTTGCCTGGACCTGCTTTCCTGGGTTGGAGATGAGGTAAGCTTCCCCAGCGCGTGGGTGTTCTCAGCAGGGAGGACCTGGGAAGGGGTGCTGGGTGGGCGCCACGCACCGCCAGTCATCCCAAGCTGGAGTGGGTCCCTGGAGCCAATGGGCCCTGCAGGGTCCAGGGAAGAAACTGTTTAGGCTCCTGGCATTGGTAGTGCATCAAGAGGACTAGAGGAGCTGAGGTTTATTTGAAAGATGGAATCACTAGGATCTTCTGGTGGACCCGAGAGCTTGGTGTAAGAAGTCAGTTCTTCATACAAGTGAGACGTTACATGGCGGTTTTCCTGAATTCAGTTTCCAAGTAACCACACCCCGAGGCACAGAAAGCTCTATGCTCTTAGGAGCATGTGCCCTCAGAGAGGAGCCGGCATCCCCTATTGCTAGCATAATAGGAAATCCAATAAGAGTAAGCACCTAATTTACCAGGGATGTTTCCTGTCCCCACCAATGGCTTCAACAAATGCTCCAGTCCTAAGCACTTAGAATCAATTTGGCCCAATTTGGAGTAATTTTTAAAGGAAAAAAAAAAAGCAAACATTGTATTCAATCAATTCCATGTTTAATATAATTATGCCACTTAAGACTTCGATATGATTAAATTTAAAATATAAATGTCTAGGTAGAAAAGTAAAACATAATGGCTTTTATTAAACCAGCTCCAGTCAAAAGCCTCGTTCAGGTTTCCTGTAGTTTCTGTCCGCGTTTCCTGCTGACTTATTCTTCTCACAAACAACTTCTGAAACAATCAAGCCCACCTTCCTCAACGTGGATGTGACCGTCCTGTCGTGTGCAGAACATGATCACGTTTGCTCTTCTCAGAAGGCGAGGCTGTGCCAATTTGTATTATTACCTGGAAAGGAATCCTGTAATGAATAAGCCCCAGACAAATCACGGCTCCCTGTTCATCCGGGCGCTCGCGCTGTCGGCAGCCTTGTAAGTACTCTGAAATTGCTCTGAGCTGTTACTTTGATGTCCTCTGCAGCCCACGTTTTGCTATAAACCTTATACTTCATTTGGAGGCAATATAACTCAATTTATCCACAAACTTTTAAAGAAAAGTGAGCCATTTCCCAATGCAAATTACTCCTGAAATGTGAGATGCTATCTCATAAATGCGGCCACTCTAAAATTGATAAGGACTGCGCGCTGGAAATTAGGACACTGGGAATTCAAAGTAACTCGACATGGTAGATGGGGGGTGGCTGTGTTGTTGGTTGTGTCTTCCTTGGGCCCTTCAGAGAGCTGTTGCAAATTTTAATGATTGATAATACCTCGTACGGGCGAGGTGTGGATGCTGTCATAATATGCCAGCAGGATGCATATCGGTTCAGCCTTGTTGAGAGGCACCATGGCAACAGGGATTAGCCTGACCAGGATGCACCTACTAGCATTTGTCAGGACAACTTCACTTGTGGATACAAGACTGGAGACAGCCTCTTGCAAAGAGCCAATAACAGGTGCTCCTCATAGCACCGGCTGCAAGAGGAGCCCTTACCAACAAACTGGGATCCATCAAGGTTAGCATAAACGGTAATGTGCGTAAGCTCAAAAACGACAAGCTAGGGCTACCAGTCTTTCAGACTGTTGAAAGAAGGAATGTCGACAGAGATGACTCAGGTCTGAGTCACCCTGGGTGACGCACCCTCAGTTTCTGTGTGTGGTCAGGGAGGTGTTTGAAGAGGATCTGTGCTATGGGATTGTTATAGTTAAAGCTTTGTCCCAGGGTTTCATAAACTGACTTCCAGACCACTCACGTATAATCGAATCAAGCCTTTATTGAAGCACACGGGTGGTGGCTGACCAGAACATAAAGTTGTTCCCCTGATCAGCCCCGAACAATTGCAAGGGCACTCCTTATAAGCCTGAAAACCGCAAAAGGGATGTTCAGGGGGTCTAGCCAATGCAAGCAAGCCAGGTTACAGAAGCAAGACAGTGCAGTCAAGCGGAAGGAAGCCTAACCAATCACAGTTAGCCCAGTCACCCCAGTTACAGAAACAGAGCCCTGTTACCCTAGTTACAGAAACAATACCCCATTAAGTAGTTCCGTATTCTTAAATGTTTCTATAGCAAAAGGAAGAGAACACCTTGCTCCAGTCATGACTCTTCTACTTGGCATGGTTGTTTTACAGGATGAAGTCATAAAACAAAATGGAGTCACATTTGTTCCTACTATCACCGGATCGCAGGTGCACGGCCGAATGCACAGGGACGTGCTGACGGAGACACTGTGGTTTCCCATTTGACACTGGCCTTTCTAATTTCATTCCTGGAGTTTTGAACTACAAAGCTCATTTTCCAAAGCTGTGAGTGATTGTCCCAGGACAGGTGAAGGCCTGAGGAACGTCCCTCTGCTGCCCAGAGCGGCGACTCTCTCTCCCTTCATACTGACAATGACGATTCTAGAGAAAATTCCACCTCTCAGAGCCTTGACACTGGGACCCTGTCCTTGCCCGGTCCCCGGCTGTCTTTTATCCTTTTTTTCACAGTACAGGGGCTGGAACCCAGGGCCTCCCACGTGCCAGGCAAGTGCTGTCCCCTTGAGCTCCACGCCAGCCCTTTGTCCTTTGTCCTTGAGATGAGACGGAGCATCCCTTCCATCCCTTCCATGGAGAGGCCTCCCACATCTGTGTCAGAGCCGAAGTCACCCAGTGACCTCTGCCCTGATGGCACGGTGTGCTCTTCCTTCTCTGCCACCTACAGCCAGCATGTGGCTTGTGAAATTAAGCAGGCAGCGCTCCTGGCCTGCGGGGAATAATGGGTGTGGAGTTTTGTTGGTTTTTCTTTTTCCTTCTGTCTCAGGTTTTCAGTGCCTGTCTCTCCTACGCCCAGTTATTTAGGCTCTTTGTGCATCTGTCACTCCATATTAAAACAGGGCTCCTGCCGTGGGTGAGGTTATTGAGCAACCCTTGTGCTCGTGAGGCACGTGGCACCATGCGGCGCAGCAAGCCCAACTGTCACCCAGCTGCTGTTGCCAGATCCCGAGCCACATGAGGCAGACGCGGCCCCACATTCCTCTTGTCCTGGTGTGCAGGTCCCTGTGTAGCAGGACCTTGTCACTCCTCCCTCCCACACAAGGACCCTCCTCCCTTCCCTTGAATCTGGGCTGGCCTCAGACTTGACCAATGAGATGCCACAGAAGTGACACCAGGTGGTCTCTGAGACCCTGAGTGAGTTCTTCTGGTTTCCACTTTAATCGTTTGGAATACCGCCCTCTAAGGAAGCCAGTCTCACCTAAGCCACCGGAGGAGGATAGGGCACCCCACCAGCACCCGCTTCAGCCACGTGTTCAAGTGAGGCCACCTCGAGACTCCTGCCCAGGCGGCCCTCTCGCTGAATGGAGCCACTTATGAGCCAGCCCAGGTGAGACCAGCAGAAGAAAATCAGGAGCAATAAAATATCACGGTCATCTCAAACTAAGTTTAAACACCAAATCTTGGGCGGTTGGGTTACCAGCACAGACTGATGCATTTACCACCTTGCCCTCCAGGGTACAGGGCCAGCATTAGTAGATGCTCAGTGAACATTTATTGGGTGGCTGGAGGAGCCCAGGATGAGATAGGGGGGATGAGAGCAGGCAGGCGAGGAAGGAGGCTGTTGGGAGATTGATTCCACAGAGCCCAGGATCAGGTCTTAACAACCAGGAGCTCTTTTTAATTGCTGATTTCATAGACCTTGAGCTTAGGAAGGGAAATGAGACCAGGCGGACTCATCCGGTCACATCAGGACAGCTTGTATCTTTTCTGTAGATAGTAAAAGAACATCCAAATTTCAGATCCAGCTCCCCTGACTCCTTTAGAAACGAAAACGTCCTTTAATACATTTCAGGAACCTGCGCTCAACCGGTTATCTTCCTTAAGAGTCAGGTCCACAATTCTGCTTCCCTCCGCCACAGATAAAGAACGCCAGCTGACAATTACTTGAATTCTATGGGAAGTTGAGTTTATCTTTATCGTGTACAACAGAAATCTTAATTTTCCACTTCTGTTAAGCTCTTCTCATTCCTGAGGCAAAACCAGAAGGCGAAAAATCTTCAAAGCTGTTGAATTGTTCACGTCTTCTCGGATTCTAGCTTTAAGATGGAGCTGAAAAGACAGGACAGATTAATTAATTCGAGTGTCGCAACTGTAATTATTTAATTGGCTTTACTCCCCAGATTTTCAATGTTGCAAATTCAGCTGATAGTTAAAATTTGAGAGTTCACGTGACACAAACATTTGTTAATCA